AAATTTATTTTCTTTTCTTTTTTTTCTTCTTTTTTTTTGTTTTGAGCCAGGGTCTTTCTCTGTCACCAGGCTGGAGTGCAGTGGCACAATCTCAGCTCACTGCAACCTCTGACTCCCTGGTTCAAGCGATTCTCCTGTCTCAGTCTCCCAAGAAGCTGGGATTACAGGCATTCACCATCATGCCCAGCTAGTTTTCATTTTTTTAGTAGAGATGGTGTTTCACGATTGGCCAGGATGGTCCTGATCTTTTGACCTTATGATCCACCTCTTTAGGCCCCCAAAAATGCTGGGATTCCAGGTGTCAGCCACCACTACAAGCCTTATTTTCATCTTTTAAAAACAATGCTGTGTGAAGTCTTCCTTGATTCTGCGTGTCTTTCCCTAGATAAAAAGGTACCTCCTTCCTTGAGGCTGCCTTCGTACTTCACTGATTTTTCTACTGCATCTTTACCACCTGAACTGTACATTATTCCCCCACATGTCTGTCCCCTCTGCTCCAAGACTGCAGGGGACAGTCTTGCATATCATATTTGTAAAAACCGTCTTTATTTTACTCAGAAATTTCTTATTGAGTCCTGCTACATACATGCTAGGCATTAGGGTTTTAAAAGAATGAAAATAAAGCATATCACAGATGGCTTTTCTAGAACACATGCCCAAGCAGAGACTGAAATATTGAGGCTAGCCAGATTAAAAGCGGTAGAGGGCAGGAAAGGGTAACAGCATTCCACACAGCAGCAAGAACAGGAGTGAGGCCTGAAAGAGTGAACGAGTGAGTAGGACATTACCAGCAGCTCAGTAATGCCAGAGAAAGGGCGCACAGGGAAAAGGGCTAAAGATGAAGAGTGGGGCAGAAGCCAGATTATGAAAGCCTTATGTGTAACTTTAAGATGCTTGGACATTAATGTTCAAGAGTGATCCCTGGTCCTATCTGCATTTAGATAAAGATCATTTTAATGCCATAACCAATATTCCTAGTGAGCTGTTATTCATTAAGACAAGGTGACAGATAGTTCATGTGGACACAGCTGAGATGTTACTATGTAGCAAATTCTCAATAATTCTCATGAACACTTGGAAAGTCAATTCTATAATAAGTCAAAGAAATTACAATAAATCACTTAATATTTGGTTTGGGAAGGTGCTTTCTAAAGTTATAGTGCATATGAATATAACTCATAGTTGTGGATTCAGAGCTGAGACAATAAAGCAATGAAACCATGATGTGTTTGAGTCAGTGATCTTTAGATTTCTACCTAGTCTTCCTACCCAGAGTGTAAATCCTAAGTATAATCCTGGTACTCACTCTCAAGTTTACATTAATTACTAGCCTATACAAAAAACACTCTTTCTCTTACTTCTTTTTGTTATTTATATGTTGCTTTGCTTAAAGAAAGAACACAAAAACGCCCTGCTAAAGGGATTCTGTTTGGTTGCAGGCGTCAAGAGGGGAAAAACAGAAAGCATATTTTGCAGAAAATGGTATTTTACAAGTCAGAACTATGACATGAAGTCAAGCAGGGCACTCTAGGACTGAATTTGCTGTGCTTCTTTAATACACTCCTTGCTCTCTTTCTTTTCTGGCAGCCATGACTCACACAGGTCATGGAGACTATCATTCCCTAAGAGGAACATAACTCTGATATTCATCTTTATCTACTAGGATCATGTGTCCCAATTCTGTGTTCTGTGGATGCTGACTTTCGGTCACTGATGGTGATACACATGGACATTTTCATCAACTTTCAGATTCTTGGGTCTTTGACAAGTCTTGTTACTGAGAGTCAAAGTAGTAGGATGTGAGTTATAAATGCTGGTTATCCAATTACCTACTCAAAATATACTACATGAATATTCCATTAAACATGCATAAGAAAAAAATGGTCATTCCCGCTGACCTGCAGCTCTTTGCTCTTCTGTATTCACCAGAAAATTTCCTACTCCTTCCTCATGTCCAGGTTAAATACTAGTGTACGACCTGGAAACTTGTAAATCATCTGACATTTCTCTCGGTCCCCCAAGCCTTTCTCATTCAATTATCACTAAATCATATAGACTATACCTCTCTTCTGCCTCTGCTTTATATTCCCACTGCCACTGGGAACATAAACTTTACAAAATGGCTC